TATATGTCAGCATCATGAATTTTGGATACCTGATGAACTAACCTCGATCATGTCTATCTATTAATTGCCAATCTAAGTTTGAATCATGTCACCTATACTGTGAATGGAAGGTTTTTTGTGAAGGGAATGAGCATAGAGGGATTTATCTACTTTGTTGGTGGCTATGAGCCTCTTTTAAAATAATATTTAAAATATATTTTTTATATACTATTTTTTTGTTTGGAGTTGTCATTTTGGTGCTTCTAAAACCCCACCGTTCTAATTTTTTTGCTAACTACCGTGTTTCCCCGAAAATAAGACACTGTCTTATATTTTTTTGGGCTAAAAAAGAAAACACACTAGGTCTTATTTTCGTGGTAGGTCTTTTTTTTTTTAATGGACAACAATCCACACTTATTCATGTACAAAAATATGGTGATAAGGGCAATCTGGGGTGCCGTACCTTTCCAAGAGCAATTTGCTAACCAATCACTGGCCAGAATGAGCGAATCGCACTTTCACTATCGATTCCTCACAGGCGGAGTGCATTTCGTATCACTCCGCCTGTGACAGGAGCCGGCGTTTTAGAGGAGGCATCGGCTTATACGGCTCTGCTCCCTCCAGTGCTGCCTCGCTTCCTCTAGCGTTGGCTTTGTTGGCACCGCTTATTCTCTGGGCTCCGCGGCTCTTCAAGTTCCCACCTATGCCACCACCGGCCCTGGGAATGATCACAACTAGGTCTTATTTTCAGGGTAAGTCTTATATTTTAGCAATTCCCAAAAATCGTACTAGGTCTTATTTTTGGGGTAGGTCTTATTTTTGGGCAAACAGGGTATTACCAGGGGTGTTGCACCATTACCTAAATCCAGGTCAAAACCTCTTTTACAACACACTGGAATTAAGGAGATTAAGGGGGGGCATGATTTTCATGTACAAGATGTTCAATGGTCATAGCAACATTAGCAACAAACTCTTTAAGATTATTTCCGTAACAAAGGCTAGAGGCCACCACCTAAAACTGGTAGAAAAAAAATTCCAGCACAAGGGGCGAAGGGGGTTCTTCTCAGTTCGAGCGGTTAGGGTCTGGAATCGCTGCCACAAGCAGTGATTTCAGCAAATAGTGTGGATTCATTAAAGAAGCTTTTGGACGATTTCCTGAGAGACCGTGAAGTACAGGGGTACTTCAACTCTTAAGAATGAGATGACTAAGGGACCTATACACCAACAATAGGTTGGACTTATGTCTTTATTCAACCTCAAATACTATGTAACTATGTAAAAATAGGAGTCTTAGTGGTGGGTTCAGTTTACATTTTGCCACCTTTAACCCCTTAAGGACAATTGCCTTTTTTTTTCTTTAATTTTTTGCACCCATGTTCCACATTTTAGGCCTGAAAATTACTTAAAACCCCTAAACATTATATATTTTCTAAAAGCCTAGACCTTATAGAATAAAATGGTGACAGTTGCAATTTTTTTATGTTGCACGACATTAGCGCAACTTATCAAACCCAAAAATGTTGTGAAAAATGCACTTAAAGTGACATTAAACCCTCAGATTTTTTAACATAAACCAATACTGTAATGTGTGCCTTACTGTAATCCATGGTTGTTTCCCTTCTCTTTGCTGCTCTTCCTTTTTAAATCCTAATGTCTTCTCATGCTTGTGGAGAACTTCCCTTTTCAGCTCAGGGCCTCTTCCTGTAGTGCTGGCTCAGGTTACAAGCCTATACAAACGTATACACAGACACCATATATCCATTCCTGAGACAAGGCAGTCTGCTGCAAAACAGAAGTTCTGCAGAGCATGAGAACAGATACAGATTTAAAAGGAAGAGCAGCAAAGAGAAGGGAAACAACCATGGATTACAGTAAGGTACACATTACAGTATTGTTTTATGTTAAAAAAGCTGAGGGTTTAATGTCACTAAGTAAAATTTAGTGCCCCAAAGCACTATATAAAACCATTTTTATGTTTTGTAAAATATAAAAGATACCCAACCATGCCCAGGTTAAAAATGATGTGCGTCCGTGAAACTGCAACAGAATTCAGTACCCAATAAAGTCCGTAGATGACGCTTTAAAAGCCCCTACAGGTTATCGGTTTAGAGATACGTATAAATATTGTCCCTAGAATTATTGCTCTCCAGTGTGCGTGGCGATACCCAACATGTGTAGGATCGTAGAAGCAATCTGGCGTCATCTTCTTGTGTAAAGCCGGCCGCCGGCTCTACAAAACTTAACAGACTCCCGGCGTCTTTTCTGTGTAACCCTTTCAAACGCCATGACGGGATTATCCCTTCATGGGTCGTGAAGGGGTTATAGTGGTAATTTGAGGCTAGGCATGTGGTAGCAGGAATTACTGGCTTTGGTTTTAAAAGCAAAACCTCTGAGTTGTCATCTACTATGTTTGGCTACCTAGTGAGTCACTGACCTGAAACATCCACTGACATTTCTGATAATGTAATGGGAAATGGTAATCTATTCCATTTTTTTTATTTTAACATCAATGTTATTACAGGCATTCCTTGTTTAGCGACCGAGTTCCGTTCCTACGACTAGGTCGTTAAACGAATCGGTCGCTAAACGAGGAATTGTATACAGTACAGTATAATATGTACATTACAATATTCAGAGCAAAGAAATGGACAAAGGAAACTCCAACTTGATAATTTGCTTTTATTTGCATCAAAGTAGTACTAGAGCTGGACTGTACAGTACAATCAGCAAAACAGTACAAAAGGTGTACTGTACAAAAAAAAGACATTAAGGCTCACTAAACAGTCGCAGTGAGAGCAATCATTTTAGGGCCATCAATCACTGATAACACTCTAACATGGTACCACACTGTACTGTACTAAACAAGTTGTACATAATTGTACCAAAAAAAATTCAAGCTAACATTTAATGGGGTTATTCACAAAAAGGTGAAGAGTTTGGAGAAGGCAGGAGAAGTGAACAATCTGGGACAACATAGCTGATCTGGAAAGTGAGTTGAATTGGAGAATTTATCCAAGATCGGCTATTTTGTCCTAGATTGTTCACTTCTCCTCCCTTCTCCAAACTCTTCACCCTTTAGTGAATAGCCCTGTTAGTCTTTGAATCCTAAAAAGGTATCGTCGGTGTCATCATCGGAATTCTGATCAGGAAATGTAGAAGGCATGGGAGATGATGAAGTAGAGATGGAAGAACTAGTAATATGGGTCCTGGGTGTAGTTTTCGAGAAAAATCCCATTAGTGTGGTCTGTTTTGTCATTTTCTTTTTTGCTTCATAAATTTCACGATAGCAACGTAAAAGTTCACTTATTTGCCGTTCCACTTTTGTGAACCGTTCAACAATCGGATCCATAGCTTCCAGTTCTAACATAGCTGCATTCACTTTTGAGAACACACCCGCTAATCCCTTTGCAGTGAAGTTCTTTGGTACTTCTGAAATTTTTTCCTCTTCTTCTTCCTCTTCTTCTTCCTCTTCTTCTTCCTCCTCTTATAAGATTGACATGTTCATCTTTGTCAAATGCTTCTGATGTATGCACAAAACGTTTTAGGCATTTTTTCCATATGCCTTGCATACACTTTTCTGTCACTCCTTCCCAAGCTGATGCAATGCACTTTAAAATGTTGTATGATTTCCAGAAATCACGAAGGGTTACTTCATTTTTTTCTGTTGTTGCTACAGCTTTGGAAAAAGTTGTGCGCAAATAGTATGCTTTGAATGTAGCTATAGACCCCTGGTCCATTGGCTGAAGGATAGCAGTTGTGTTTTTAGGCAGATACACTACCTTTACATCTGGGTGTAGATCATCAAGATGCTGGGGGTGGCCTGGAGCATTATCAAGCAGAAGGATGATTTTAAAGGGAACGCCCTTTTCCAGACAGTAATGCTTCACCGAGGGTGTAAAGCAGTTATTGAACCAATCTTCAAATAAAGCTTGCGTCATCCATGCCTTGTTGTTTGCTCGATAGTAAGCACACATTGCCCGTTTACTAACGTTCTTCAATGCACGTGGGTTCTCAGACCGATAGATGAGTAATGGCTTCAACTTGAACCTAGTAACATTTCCTCCCAACAACAATGTGACCCTGTCCTTAAAAGCCTTGAACCAGGCATTGTTTTAGCTTCTTTGTGTATGTAGGACCTTTTCAGGCATTTTCTTCCAAAAAAGTCCGGTTTCATCCACATTAAAGATTTGTTCTGGACAGTAGCCGCCTTTCTCTATGATTTTATCAAATTGGTCAAGACATTTTTCTGCTGCTTCTACATCTGCACTTGCCGCCTCACCACTGACACTCCGATTTTTGCAGGTTAAATCTGCGACAAAACCTCTGAAACCATCCATGACTTGCTGTGAAAGTTTCAGTTGACTCTTCACCTTCACGTGCTTTCAAAGTCTTGAAGATACTGAGTGCCTTGGCTTGAATTATTGAAAGACTCATTGGCATTCTTTTTTGTATTTGGTCATCAAACCAGATCGCCAATAATTTTTCCATGTCATGGATGAGGCCTTTCCGCTGCCTAGTTATTATGGCTTTAAAACCTGTTGATGTTTTCACTGCCTCCTTCACTCTGTCTTTTCTGTCTTTGTCCTTCAGGATGGTTGAAAGTGCCAGATTCACGTCCTGTACTATTGTATTAACTTTTTTACCAGCTTCATAGTCATTTATGATCTTCACTTTCATGTCAAGATCAATAGCTTTCCTTTTGTTTTTTGCTGCTTTTTCCTGGTGAACTCTTCCGTTTTGATGACATCTTGTACTAAGGGGTACAAAATAGAAGTACTGTACAGTACTGTACGTTGTCACACTACAGGTACCACCTGGGCTGCACATCAGAGAAACAGCAAGGTGGCATGGAGTGTTGCAAATATACAGTACTGTACTATCCATACAGTATTGTACTGTAGACAGTATGCTGCATAGTACTCACCCAGAAATCTGTAGATTTTCTGCATAGAATCAATGTCGCAGTGTAGCAGTAGAAGTCACCATAGGCCCCACTGTACAGTACTGTAGAAGAAGCCACAATGCCGCTCATGCTCCTACGTCTGAACTGCGCACCGCGTGGTCGCAAGTCCGAATTCCGTTGTAAGTCTGAAAACACACCCCCGGTCGTAAGTCCGAGCGGTCGGTCAACAGTTAGGTTGTTAAACGAGGAATGTCTGTAGAGTATTTAATTGTTTAAAATAATTTGTTTTAAATGTTATTTACAAGAGACGTAAAGCAAAACTTTTTTTTTTCTTTCCATTTCTTTTTTGGGTTACGAGTGTAGTTTTACTAATATACCCCTGTGACCCAAAGCCAGCAAATAGGCTTGCGCCCTATTTCATCTGACAGCGCAGAGCAGCATCACAGCCGTGAAGGATCCCAACCATATTGTCAGAATCCACCCCTGGCTGCGCTATCTTTGCTTCTCTGTGCGAGTGAGAACAAAAGTCAGCTGTGGATGCCCCTGTCCCTGTCTGTTTCCTCAGTGAGCGCTGTAGGAACAAAATGGGGAAGGGGAAAATCCTGTGGAAGAAATGGCTGTTGGTCGCTGCTCTTTACGTTGAGAAGAGACTAAGAGCTGACTAGTCTTAGATTGTAAGCTCATTTGGGCAGGGTCCTCCTCGCCTACTGTTTCTGTATGTCAATGATGCTTGTCAGTGTTTCTTTCTTGTCTTGTATAAATGATTGTACAGCGCTGCGGACTATGTTGGCACTATATAAACAATTATAATAATATATATTGTATTAGAGCTGGCGTGCGACAGCTGCAGTGTTGCACACCAGCTCGAAGAAACTGGGACAGTATATTTTACTCTGCACTTTTCCTTTTATGTAATATATAGTGCACTTAGCACAGTTAAACTTAAATTGATTTCTTTACCGCGTTTCCCCGAAAATAAGACCTACCCCGTAAATAAGACCTAGTACTATTTTTTGTAATTGCTAAAATATAACACCTACCCTGAAAATAAGACCTAGTTGTGGCCGGTGGTGGTATAAGGGGGAACTTGAAGAACCGCAGGAGAGAATCAGCGGAGACAACATAAGCCGGAGGGAGCAGATCCGCATTAGGCCGATGCGTCCTCCTATAGCGCCGTCTTCTGTCACAGGCGGAGTGATTCCAAATGCACTCTGTCTGTGAGGAATCATAGTGAAAGCACTCCTTCAGCGATTGGTTACCAAACTGCTGAAAGATGAGTGCAAAAAGAAAGGGCTATTCTGTCAATAGAGCTATTAATGTTGTACATTAAAAAGCTATTACAGAACTATTAATGTTGCACATTAAAAAAAATAAAAATAAGACCCACCCCGAAAATAAGACCTAGTGTGTTTTTTTTTTGAGCCAAAAAAATATAAGACAGTGTCTTATTTTTGGGGAAACACGGTAGTAGAGGGCTTAATGTGTTGCTTTATTAAGTAGAGTTGTGAAGAAGCAAGTAATTTTTATTGCCTGTTTTGTTTTGAGTAGTTCGAAAGCAAGAGGAGGAAGCTGAAGATAATGGCTTAGAAGAAGATTCGGGAGATAGCCAGGTAGTAGATCTTGAATGTGTGTTGCTATAAAATAGTTGACCTGTGAGAGTGCAAGAAGCTGAAAATGGGGTACTGCTTTATCTGTAATCTTATCCAATTTTCTCTACATAGTCAAAACCGGAAATCTGAAGTTCTATATCATTCAGATTGTCTTCCGTATCCTTCCTTGATTGTGATTTTACTGCTTGCAGAACTAATCCAGTTATCTTCTGCCACAAATGTGTGCGGTCATTTGTTCCTCCAGTCATGAGCATACAATATAATTTCTCCCTACCTGTGAAGGGTCCTTGGGCAAAAAAATGCACTGCTAAACATTGAACAAATAGGTTTGAAATGTATTTTCAGCAAACAAATATGCACTTTCTTAGTCGTACATGAAGGGATACAGGACGAGTAATTCGGGTACATAGTGTTAAGCTGCTGCCTTGAGGAGATTTGATACTTAAAACGTTCTAAAGACAATCTGGTATAACTTCACCCTCTCCCATTTTGCTGTTTTTTACGGGCCTGGGGAATCTCCTAAGGGGTTAACTGCAGTGCGGGCTGCAGCACTTTTGGTCGGGTGCTGATGCAGGGAAGAGGTGCAGTGCCATTTTTGAAATTGGCACCCAGTATTCATTACTAACAGTGCACCCCTACTGAGTCTGTAGGACTTCCCTTTAGGTTGTCTTACTGCACATGTATGTGCCATTTTACAGGGCACATATGAATCTTTTCAGCCACACCATGATCCTCCAGGATATTCTCTACTCCCTACTGCCTTATAGTGACAAAGTCTGGCATTTAACCTTCCTGCTTCTGCAGAGTTTTGTTAGTGTCTCTTGTGGGAAATTCCTCTCCACCATACTAGTATGGTGGATCATAGGCACAATGGCAGCAGTTCTGTGGACCTTGCCAGTTTGCATTCCGCTAATGTTTCTGGAGAGGCTTGCAGTATTCCTCCAAAAGGACCTCGCACCAATAGCTTGGACTACTTTCCCCACCTGTATAGCAGCACTCATCAGTCCTCAACTCTTTCAGGAGTGACTCCCTCCTCTGTTTTGTCCAGGGAGGAATTCTCTGCTACTGTGTGAGTTTATGGGGTAAATTTCAGCCATGTTGGCTTACTCCGAATGCAGGGACTGTAAGCGTTCACCAATGTCCTCTTCCCCCGAGTCCACTTCATATTCCCCTGCAGTAGGGTCTGTCAGAGGAGGAAATAAGGAATAATGTACCCTATCTTTGATGGATTGGTACATGAGGAGTCTGTCTGCTGACATTACTCCATTACGTAAAGTTACCATTTCTATCCTTTTGATGCAGTGCCCATATGTCCAAACCTGAGACAACCTGTGCTGAAGGTTACCAGACTGGGTTCTTTAAAATTTCCACTAGGTTAAAACCTTTTCTACATAAGTAACAAGAAGAGAGAAATATGGGGTTTTTTAGGCACCAAATGACAACTCCCAAGGCAATTGGCAGTAAAGTGTTTTTAAAAATTGTATTTAAAAATTATTTGATTCAAATGCAATACATTAATGTAAAAACAACCAGCTAATCAGATGTCTCCTTGTAAACTCACTCCATTTATTAAAACCTTTCCTATATGCTTGCTTTTGGAAATGGTTTTATATAGTAAATGGTCCAATTAAGAAGAGAAAAATCTCTACTCCCGCCAAGGGCAGCAATATCCTGTTAAGGAGGGGTTTCTTAAACAGTGTGCTGTACCTGCAGTAGATCTGGCCATTTTTTATCTTGACAAGATTTTAGACAGTTTAGTCCGTTCGTGGCCATCTGGTCATGGCACATTTCAGACGTGTGACAAAAATGTGGTATTCGGGGTCTAAAATATCCAACTCTGCATCCTCCTTGCTTCATGTTGTCAAAACTGCCAATGTCCCCTCACAAGCTAACCGACCCCCACAATGCTCTGGCTTAGCTCCTCTCTAAGTGATCATAGCCATCATTCTTGAAAAGAATATGTTCCAGAGTCTTTTCCCCAGTCATCTTCCAGGACAGCCATCGAGATATAGGCCCCGCCTGCCTGCAGCAGGAAACACATCAACCACATTAAATAAAAAGACTCCTCCTTCTATCCCAAGTCAGTTTTTTTTGTGTTTCCGCCGGCTACACAGGGACATCGTAATGTTTGTTATTTTTGGGCTCACGTATTGCTTGCCTTAGGGCTGAGCCTTACCCTGCTATGCGTTGGGACCTACTCCAGGATTACCTGCTGCAGCGCATGCAGGGTTTCCCTATCGGACCCCCATCCGATTCTTGGCCAAGGTTCCCTTCCATCACTCAGGGAAGGCAACCATCCTCCTGCACGTGAGTAGGCGCCAGATGGTGGCCCCCCCTTGGTGTACAGCAGTGGCAAGGTGTGATAACCTTAAGTATGCTTAAGCCCAGGTTGTGGACATTAGTTGGCGACAACAGGGGCAGCATAGGAGGAGGTACGGGGAGGCTGGAGGAGTCCAGGGGCCCCGGTTACCTCGGCAGCATGGGGGCACTTACCTGAGGGTAGGGGGAGCGGTGTCAGTCTTCGGAAGCGTGGGGGTGTTGGCCTCGCGCGGAGGGCTGCGGCGTCTCTTGGCCCCTTGCTGGTGTCTGTGGTGAAAAGCTGGGAATACGGCGGGTGACGTCACTGTAGGGCACCGTCGGCGACTAGAGTGCGCGCCGCGTTGTCGAATGCGGTGACGCGCTTCCGGTGCGCCACTTCCGGGTTCCGGAGGCGGCCTCGCGCCGGAGACGCATAAGAGCCTGAGACGCTCGGCCCCCAGATGGTCACAGCAGACGCCGCTCGGCCACGACTATTGCAGCTGTACACCGTACATATCCGACCAAGACCACATACGGCCGGTGGGGACGTCAGGAGAGGGCCGATAGCGTGGTCGGCAGTGAGCTGCAAGATGCCGGACCAGGTGCGGCTACTCCAGATCTGGGAGAGCATGGCACGGGTGCTAGGGTAGGCGAGTTTTTTTGGAGATTCTCCCCTTCCTTTACCCTGCTTGTATTGGGGGCCTGTTTACAGGACAAGCTGGGTAGTGTTTTTTGCATGCGGGAAGAGCACTCGCTGATGGCATCATTTCTGTCTCACACAGGTCAAAGCCCCTCGCTGAAGCTGGTTGCTCTCGCCCAAAAGGGAAGATGTGTGCCTCTTGCAATGCCAAAATGTCAGCTTCATGGTCCAAACCCTTGTGCAAAGGTTGTTTAGAGAAATTGGTTGCGAAAGAGTCAACCGGAATGTTTAAGGGGCTTTTGGATTCAATGAGAGATGAAATGGTTACTACATTTCAGTCTTTCAGGTCGGCGCTCCAGACCCCGGTGTGGATACTAGTTTGCCCGGAACGTCGGGGGAAGGAAGCTCTATGGGTTACGCAGAAAGCTGTGTGAGCAAGCACTCGCCCAGTGAATCCTCGGGATCTCCGGCTGAGTCAGAGGATCACGATGGGTCAGAAGGGGAGTTACGTAGCAGTTCAGCTACGAAATTCCTTTTTCCTTCATTTGAGACGGGTGAGCTGTTGAAAGCTATAGGGGATACTCTGGGTATTAAAGAGGAGTCCACTGAGCTTTCGATTCATGACAAACTGTACAAAGGGCTTCAGACTAAGAAGGGACGCACCTTCCCGGTCCACAAATCACTCTCTGACATGATCCAAGAGGAGTGGAAGCACCCGGAAAAGTTTTTTTTCGGCTGGTCATAAACGCAGGTTCCCCTTTGCAGAGGAGGATGCAGGCCTTTGTGACAAATGCCCTAAGATGCCTCTTTATCGAAAGTCTCTAAAAAGACTGACTTGTCATTTGAGGATATGGGGGCTTTGAAAGACCCGATGGACAGGAAAGCGGAGGCTTTGCTCAGGAAAGGTTGTGAATCGGCGAGTGCTGGGTTCAAGCCTGGACTGGCCATTACTTGTGTGGCCAGGACTTTGGGCGTGTGGCTGAATCAGCTGCAGGTCCACCTGGAGTCCGGTACTGACCGTGACCAGTTACTGGGTTCCCTTCAGGTGCTGAGTAAGGTTGCCGCGTATATTGCGGATGCCTTCGGCTGAAGCAGTCAGGTACTCGGCGCGGACTACGGCTTTGATCAACTCCTCCAGACGAGCGTTGTGGCTCAAGACTTGGTCTAGGGATGCAGCCTCTAAGGCAAAATTGTGCGGGTTGCCTTTTAAAGGTGACTTGCTCTTTGGCCAAGAACTGGAGGCAGTACTGGATAGATTCGCAGATAAGAAGGGGTTCCCACTGCCGCCTAAGCAGCAGGGGAAGAAGTTTTTTTGTGGCCAAAGGGGTCAGAATTTCCGCAAAGACAAGAAGAAGCAGGACCAATCCAAAGCGTGGGCTTTTAAAAAGGGAAAGTCCAAAGGTAACTTCCTTTTTTAACCCCCATCAGCAGCCCAATAAATCCCAATGACCGGTTGCTCAGGGTGGGAGGAAGATTGGGGGGATTCTTCCCACTCTGGAGGGAGCTGACCAGCAACAAATTTATTTTGGAGCTGGTGCTGCACGGCTACAGAATAGAATTGACGGAGAGGCCCCCGTCCAGGCTTCTGATTACTTCCTTGTCCAAAGACCGGAGGAGATCAGAGGCAATGACGGGGGCCCTTCAGGATCTGTTGGACCAGGGGGTCATTACGAGAGTACCGGTTGCAGTGGAGAAGAGGGGGTTTTACTCACACATCTTCTCCAGGATGAAGCCTTCGGGGAAATGCAGACTGATACTCAATCTGCAACCTCTGAACAAGGTAGTACTGTACAAAAGGTTCCATATGGAATCGATCTTTTCAATACGAGGATTGCTGCCCCCAGGATCTTTCCTAGCGACCATAGATTTGAGAGACTCCAGTTTTCACATGGCTGTGAGACAGTCGTCACAATACCTACTGAGGTTTGCAGTAAGGGGACAGGCGGGGGTCCAGCACTTCCAGTACAGGGCCCTGCAGTTCGGCCTCTCCTCGGCGCCTCAAATCTTTACCAAAGTGCTGGCAGAGGCTCTGGCGCCCCTAAGAGTAAAAGTGCACAGCTTCGGTCAGGTCGGTTATGAGGATGGTGGGGCTCATGACGTCCACCATCCCAGCTGTTACCTGGGCACAGTTCCACTCAAGGCCATTACAGAATTGGCTGTTGAGGGTTTGGGGAAGTTGGCTAGAGGACTTAGACAAAGTGGTCCACGTCACAGAGGAAATCAAGCATTCCCTGCTGTGGTGGATGGATTGTCGGAACCTCTCAGTCGGCAGACTATGGTGTCAGCCAACACCACTAGTGGTCACGACAGATGCCAGTGCCTGGGGTTGGGGTGCCCACTGCCGGGAGCACATTTGGCAGAATACCTGGGAGCACGCGGGCCGCCTCCAAATCGTCAAACTGGAGAGCGCTAAAGGCGATAGAGCTGGCTCTCTGCCAGTTTCGGGATACTTTAGCAGGTCAACATGTAGCGGTGGCCTCAGACAATGCTGTGGCCTACATAAACAGGCAGGGGGGGCACGCGTTCGCACGGCCTCATGGCGTTGGCGACGAATATTCTGACTTGGGCAGAGCGCAACCTCCTCTCCCTGACAGCGAGGCATATCAAGGGCAGCCTGAACGAGCTGGCAGACTCACTCAGCAGGACGGAGCTGCACAGGTCAGAGTGGGCTCTGAACGCGAGAACGTTTGCATGGATCACCAGCTTGTGGGGCTGTCCAGAGGTAGACCTCTTCGCAGCGGCCAACAACAGGCAGGTGGAACAATTTTTTTCCCTCTCCAGGAACGACGGAGCCCTAGAGGTGGACGCTTTGGTGCACCCCTGGGGGTTCACTCTAGGTTACGCATTTCCTCCACTGCAGTTAATCCCGAATGTGCTTCGGAAGCTCAGGGGCGAACGGATGACTTTAATTCTAATAGCGCCATGTTGGCAGAAGCGGCCATAGTTCACGACCCTCCTGGAACTGTGTGTGGAAGGGCCTCTGCTTCTTCCGCCCGCGGCGGATTTATTGATGCAGGGCACGGTGAAACACCCGCAGGTGGAAGCTTTAAATTTAGCTGCATGGCTACTGAGAGGTAGGTGTTGATTAACAAGGGGTTATCCGCACAGGTGGTATCTACGCTGCTGCACAGTAGAAAGCCGGTAACATCTGCGATCTACCTGAAAGTGTGGAAAGTGTTTTCCAGCTGGTACAGCAGTCAGCATAGGCCTGCGGTTGCCACCGTACCATTGGTGTTGGATTTCCTGCAGGGCGGCTTGGAAAAGGGGCTCTTCTGTAGTACCCTGAAAGTGCAGTTTTCTGCGCTGTCTAATTTCGTGGACGTTAGACTGGCGGAGGAGCCTCTCATCAAAAGGTTTATGCGAGCGGTAGTCAGAATGAAACCCCCGAAGAGTAAGGTTGTGCCAAACTTGGATCTCTCGGTGGTGCTACAAGGGTTCCTCAAACAGCCTTTCGAGCCCCTGGGGGGGTGTTCCATTCAGCATCTGACGATAAAAACAGCCCTCTTGGTAGTGTTGGTTTCTGCTGTATTTGTACAGCTTGAAATCTGGAATAAGCAAGTATTGAATGCTTAAAGTTATTCACAATTTTCCTCCCTGTTGCTGTTATTTCTGATATGCTGCACTGACTCGGCACTCCCTCATTCGCAGCGAACTGCAGCGTGTGTGCCATGCATGGTATACTCTGGAGTCCACTATTCTCCATTGCGTTTGCCATGTTCCGTGCATTCTCGAACAATCACATGAACTTTAGTCTTTTTAATGTGCCTAGTTTCAAGCATGGTATCTAATGCTTCTGATATCGCTGCTGCAGTGTGTGAAGCAAGATGTTTTTCAAATTAAAATCTGTTTATCCACTGCGCTGTTAAACTAAGCAGGCTAGTTGGGCTCACGTCTGAGCTCCAAGTGTGTGTGTGTGTGGTAACTTGTGGCTGGGATGTCTGTGGACATCCGCTCATGAATGTGTTTTGCAACATGGTCAAACCTTTCCAGGAGACGGGTTTCGGCAAAATAGCATCTGCTTGGCACTGTGTAATGTGGCTCAATATGTTCTATGAGCCTGTGAAATCCAATGTCCTCCACAACAGAGAATGGCTGATCATCTTAAGGCAATAAATTCCATGTTTTTTCTATGTCTTGTGCTTTGGCACTATTGTTGGCACATTTCCTAACTCTTGAAAATGCTGTCTGTGGCAATAGATGGTGTTGTGCTAGTTGGGGTTTTAAGCCTATGTATAACACATTGGAGGTGACTGGTTCTCTTCAAGGTGACAATAGGGGTATATTGAACCCCTGGTGTCACCTTTACCCACTGCTGTGGATCAATTAGCAGCAGAATGGACCTGAAGGAAAAAGTTCTCCTTCAGGTCCGCTCCTCTGATCCGCAGTGGTTGGGAGCAATAACCAGCCTGCCATTGGCTATTTCAAATGGCAATAGCCGGCTGAATATTGCAACCCATAAAGCTTGCTTTGTGCACATTAAGCTCAGCTGTCATTTACTTCCATAACGTGCTGCACTGTGAAGGTAACTATGCTCCCCCACATCACCCTATTCCCGAGACGCTCCGTTTCCCAGTGTACTATTTAAAGGAGTTTTGCTGAAAATAGCTAAACTGCTATTGGGGATTTCAAAATGCAATAGCCAATAGCAGGTTGGCTAATGTACCCGCCCACTGCCTACTGTCAATCAGCAGAGGAGCATACCTGAATGAGAACTTTCTCCTTCAGCTCTTCCTCAGTTGATTGAGGTTTCCTTTAACTGTCTGGATGTAGTACGTGCTGTTCATGATTATTTCTCTGCTACAGCTTATTTTAGGCTTTTTGTCATTCCTGAGTGTCCCCATAAGGCCTAAGCTGCTTCCCGTTCCACCATCTCCAGGTGGATTTGGAAGTGCCTCATTGTAGCCTATAGATCTAAAGTGTATTCCATTTCCAGCCAAATTGGGATAGCACCTATTTTATGTGTTACATGTTCTCATTGACATCACATAAGCTTAAAAAAAAAGTCAGTCTTGCAGTTTAAATTTACTTTTTACTTGGTAAAACTTCTTCTTGACTTCTCTTTATAATGCTAGAGACTGTGAGGAGTTTGTATTAAACCTGTTTGTACTGTGCTGACTTCATTATAATTTGTGAAGTAGGTTTGACCACTGCCAGTCCTAACCAAGGATTAAAGCATTGCAAGCCTGGCTTCTACATTGTTAATGAAAGAAAAACACATTCCTGCCCTCAGTCTTTCTACAAGGACAGGTCACTGTGAAGGTGCTCAATAAATATTTGGATTTTGCCTGCTACAACATAACCTTTTAAAAGGTAAGAAATATTAAAAGAAAATTCTGTATGCCATTTGAAAAGGAACATATAACAGAGTGGTTTTTCTCAAATTTGACTGCAAAAGTAGAAATACACTTTAAGGGAAGGTTCACTCTTTCCCTGTCAAAGCGCACTCTGCCAGATCCCTTTGCCAATGCGACAGTGCCGTCCGTCCGTTTTTCTACTACGGGCGGACGGCAACTGGTTAATGTTCCATGTGCTTTTCAACATCGAATATGTTTTTCAGATTTTTAAAGTTGCCACCCAGTCCTCTGTTCACCAAGTGGAAATTCAGGCCTCAGTTGATGCCTACTTTGGTTGTAAGGCCCATCTCTCTGAGCCCCTCCTGTTAGCCTGTTGTTCTGTGTTGCCCACCCCTCATTTGGATCTGTTTTGGATGTCTCTTTGTACCTGAACTACTCATCCTATGTCCCTTTAATGTACAGTGTAAAAAAAATAAAAATATGATTTTTGTCTTACTGCAAAATCCTTTTTTTTGGAGTACATTAGGAGACCTGTCTGTTCTGATTCACTCCTCATATTGCTTTTCTACCAAGCTGGAGCATGATGAGTGGGAGGGGTTATACTAGGCTGCCCTTACTGCTTTGCTTACCAGTGTGCAATCTCCTGAAGGTAGCTGCTTAACCCTATGTACCTGAATTAATCATCCCTTAATGTGCTTCAAGAAAAGGATTTTACAGTAAGTAAGACATATATTTTTTTTTCAATATATTTTTAGGTTTCAACAAAAACAATATGATCTTTTAAAATTTTGATAAGATGTTTGTGTCATGTTGATGAGTAACAAATCTTTCTCAGTGGCCACACTTTGACAAACTGTTTTCATATGGTCATGCTAGACTGACTAAGGTGTTAATGTAAAAAAGTTTCTATAACTTTTTTTTTCTCTCCTATTAACAGGAAAATGAAGAGACCAGTTTGGAGCAAGGTACTGTCTAATATGGCGCTTCTGTCCTACAAATAGTGTTGTACCTCCCAAGTGAAAGTGGACCTGTATTCTAATGTTAACACTTTAACAGCCTTGTTGGCATGAATACCTGTTCTAGAGAAAATGCTGTTCACAAAACCAAAAACCTAGGTATTTGGCAGTGTGATCTAGGCTGAAGGCAAGAATCTAAGCTCATGGTTGTTGGTTCTGTACTACAGAAGAGATCTTGCAATCAGATACATGGGCTTTGACTTGTGTGGGAAGCACTGGAGAGAGTAGCGTTTTCTCATAGAAAGGCAAACATTTCAAGCCTTCTGTTTCTATTCTCAGAAAATCTGTTAACATTTTGGTGCAAGTTCACTTAAATTTGCCTGACGTTCAGTTGAGGCATGGGCCACAGAGATTGGAAATATAAATTGCCAGATTTATAAAATTCATCTTGATTGCTTAAAAATGACCATAGGGTAATATAACTTAAGTAACCTTTGGACTTCATATATCTGGAGATTGACAGAACATTCAGCTTTTAGATAACCACACTGCGTCACAGTTGCAATGACCGTGAAATCAACGGATGCAAGAAGATAAAGGTAATTGATGAACAAGCATCCTCCTGCTTACTTGGGACTAAGCTTTTATTTCCTCCGTTCCTTGCACTCCGGATCTGTGGAAGATCACTAAATGCTCAAAATGGATTTTGCAAACAAAAATGGATTTTCTCTGAAATTGGAACATTTCTCAATGAAATCCCCAATCAAATTAAAGGACAATTTCAAAGGTATAGAAGAGCACTAAGAGCCTCAACATGTCAAGTTGGACTGAGTTTAAGACAACCAGAAGCATCTGTCATGTTTGTTTTCATCTTTTCTTGTAGGTTTGGCCACGTTTTGGTGTTTAGTTGGCTCTGAGCTTTAAGCTTAGCGTGTAAATATGTATAATATATATGCGCGTGCGTGCGTGTAACTTAATGCAATTTTCCAATCTCTGTGCCTAGTTTTCTAGTTTGGCAGTCATGCCAGTTCCACGTTTGTAATCTGTTTTTTTCCCTGGTCATTAAATTGTGCCGTTCTATTCCTATTAAATCTATAGAAAATGAGAAAGTGCTCGAGATATTGGGGGAAAGTGATAAATCTGAACAGCTTAAAGAAGAGGCTCCAGAAGTGGAGGAGTCAGTTGATCAAGATGACAGTTGTGTAGAGTCCCTGAAGACCAAAGAAGAGGATGTTTTTGTCACCATTGAGTCTGCTGATAACACATTAGATTTAGATGATGAAACAAATAAAGAGTGTGAAGAAGAAACTAATCCTTTAGGTCCAGATGATGGGGAGTCTTTAGAACAGAATACAGGAAAGGACACGGACTTTGAAATGGTAGCCATAGATAGCACAGGTGGGCAGAGTAGCCAAATGCAACCATATCTTGATGAGAACTTGGAATATGAGATGAAAACTCAACCCGAGGAAGAAGCTAAAGATGGTGAAAAAGCATTGAAGGATGAAAACACAGAAGAAGCATCTACTAAAGTATCCTCTGCAAAAGAGGACGATCAGAGAATGAGGTTTGTTTTTTTTCTCAGTATTAGACCAGATTTGTTTTTTCTTTCAAATTTTTTTTAGAAAGGTACTTTGAAATATGGTTTTCTTTGGCATATTTTCTGTAGTAATGCCAAGTAGACTTTTGAGATTTTCCTTTTCTTGTCCATTTAGACTTGGTTTTGTTTGCTGAAACAATCTATTTAACATAATTTTAATGTTTTGCATGTCTCTTTACACACAAACATTTGTGGCCAGACACATGGTAGGTGTAGAAAACATTTAATTGTTAACTAGTTTTCTCTCTCTTTAGTTTGACTGAAGAAGAAACTGACAGAAACGTCAAAACCGATGAGAAGGGTATGTGTAAAGTGTTTTGTCTTGGAAATGGTGGGGTCATTTAACTGCTTGAAGACCAGGTGTTTAGACCCCCTTCCTGGCCAGGCCATTTTTCGGTATTCAGCGCTGCGGTACTTTGACTTTTATTCCGTCATGCAACACTGTACTGAAATTAATTTTATACCATTTTTTGGGGTACACAAAGCTTTCTTTTGGTGGTATTTAATCAACACTACGGGTTTTATTTTTTACTATAATTAGGAAAAATTACTGAAAATTTTGAAAAGATTTTTTTTTACATTGTTAGGAAACATTTATTATTACCCAGTCCTTTGGTAAAATATAAAAGTCGGGGTCACGTCGGGTAGACAAACATGTCAAGCTTTAAAATTGCGCGCACCCGCAAAATTGCAGAAAACTACCATACGCAAAATTGGCCGGAGACGACACTTTAAAAGCTTTTACCACTCATCAGTTTAGTGTCATCAGTGATTGATGGCCCTAGAATTATTGCTCTGACTCCGACGTTTGCGGCGATATGTAACGTGCGGCGTAATGGGCGCAATCGTCTTGTTTGCACGTATGCGTCCCCGACGCATATTTGCATGCGTGTATGTATGGGCTGGGGACTTAAAAAAGAATAAAAAACAAAACATTTGTAATGTGTAACTTTAAATTTTTTTGGGGGGGGGGGTATTTTTTTTCCTATTTTTTTTTTCCCTAAACTTTATTGCTATCCCATACGGGGGCTAATAAAACCCCCCTATGTGATAGCAAAATATGTGACAGGTCCTCTTTATGGAGACGGGTCCAAGACCCCTACTGGCACCGAACGTTACCCCATACAAGTGATCCGCCAGCTCAACAAGCCTGCGGATCGCTTGTATTTTAACAGGCATCGCTGCCTGTTTTTAAATATCTGGCATTTCCCAGTCGCGCCCAGCTGCGCGCACGAGGGGGCGTGTCTGAGCGGACGTCTAAAGATCTCCCAGCCGGCTGTTTTTTTGCGGCCTCGCACACGGCCCCTGACTCACACCAGCCCCCTAGACCAGGGCCCCACCACCCTGCGCGGCCGCGCACACTGCCCAGGCCTGGCAGCAGCACCATGAGGCAGAGGGGGGGAGGGAGAAGTCAGAAGGCTGCAGCTGTGACAAGCACAGTGCAGCCAGCATACCTGCACTGTCGGTCCCTGGGACACAGCCACCGCAACCTCATACATACCCCCAGATGGAGGTCTCCAGAAGACAGGGCGTGCAGGAGACAGTAGCAGAAACGCCGGCCACTGGGGAGTGCTGTGACCGGCAGGTCGAGACACCCGGTCATATGCACACACACCCCCCACCCGGGACGAACTCGCAGGCGTCACGAGGAACCCATGTCGCAGCCGACCCACCGAGGCAGAGTCGGCATGCGCTCGATGGTCACCCAGGGAAGACCACAAGGACCCACAGTCGTCCAGCACGTCGCCCTGGTGACACTAGAAGAAAGCGAATCAAAGGTAGAAAGAAAAAAAAATTCAGAGAGGAAAAAATATTTAGCTCCTTACTCCTGATGCTAGGCAAAAAACTGGAGACTTGTCAGCAAGTGGGGGGTTGGGCTACCGGCAGGGGCCGCCCCTAGGCTGTCTTGTCTTTTGTTATGTGCCTAGCGTCCTACTCCTGCAGGTGGCGATATACCCCTACCATACAGGATCTCCGATCTGTTGCCCTGTGTCCTTCAATGAACGGAGAGAAGGATTTTACGGTGAGTACAAAAATCCTATTTTTGCTACGGCCGGCCCGAAGGTAGTTAAAAGTTACAACTGCATTCTAACGTTCTGGCACACTACTGGCTATTACATGTTTATTTTGTAAGTGAAAAATCCGAAAGCAACTAGCTCAGGAAACTTAACCACTTGCCGTCCGGAGAAATTTCTTACATTTGCACACATGTTAAAACCTGAATTTTTGGCCAGAAAACAGCTTCAGACCCCCAAACAATTAGATATTTTCTGAAAGCAGAGGCCCTGTAGAATAAAAAGATGCTAGTTGCAATGTCGCATGGTATTTGCGCAAATGTTTGTCAAAGAAGTATTTTTAGGATAAAATACGCTAAAATGAAATTTGGTGCACAGAAACAGAATATAATACCCAATGTTTTGGTAAGATATAAAAGATGGGTTTACGCCAGGTAAATGGATACCAAACATGTCAAGCCTTAAAGGAGAACTATGGGGTTAAGGCTTTTCCCCATAGTTCTCCTTAAGGTAACGGGAGGAGACAAACTAGCGTCCTCCCGTCACCCTAGGCTCAGTATACCGCGAGCTGTAGCTGTATACTGAGACGCCGCAGCTGAAGCGGATCCCGACAATTATGCCTGGATACGCCCAACTGCGTGACTGACAGCTGGCTCTGCCTATCTAGAGGCAGAGCCAGCTGTACCCGCCCCCTTCCCAGTCTGTTCCGCTAGGGGAATCCAGCCCCTCCCCTGTCACGGCAGAGAGCCGCGACAGGATCGAGAGGTGAGCGAACGCCGGTATGTGTTCGCTCACCTCCCGATCTACTGAGCCGACCTGTGACAGTCTCATTGTCACAGGTCGGCTAGAACTATGAGGTGAGTTCTCCTTTAAAATTGCGTGAAACGGCAAACAACTACAATAACCAAAATTTCCCATAGTTGACGCTTTTACTGCTCATCAGTTTAGTGTTAACAGTGATGGGGCCTAGAATTATTTAGCTTGCGGCGATATGTAACGTGTGGCGCAATTTTCGTTTCTGCACGTAAGTATCCAAATTGTAACTCTTGGTATCCTCGTATCACATTGGAATCACTTCACCTCATGAACGATAAGAGGGACATCCACAAAGCCGAGTTGAATACCAATCACCACGCTAAACCTTAGGTTTAGCGTGTGATACCAGGATACCAAGAGTTACAATTTGGATACTTACTGACAATCTGATCCTGTGTGAAAAACGTCTTGGAGACATTGAAGGAATTGACGGCATCGAGAGTACCAGCTAAGTATACGTATACCCACCGCCGTTGTACGGCCGTACCCACAACTTGGAAATTGCCCTCATCTTTGCTGAACTCAAGGTTCTGACACGGTCAGTGTCTCTTGATGCTTATCGGGTTCACTGATTCATTTAATGTCTGTGGACACACAGTGTATACTGGATTTTGGTGTTTTGCAGACATCAATACCTTGAGTTTTTTGGCCAATGTATGTGCGTCCCACATGGATGGGTGAGCACAGAAAATCTGCTTAATCTGCCTCGTACGGATATGAACAAATCTGCAAACATTTTGCTATTGTGCAGTCCACATATGAATGTTTTGAGGGGTCCACTATAGAACTCTTTTTATTACATTAGCCGAGTGGAATTATGTGCAATATATATGTGTGCTTTATATTTTAAAGACTAAATTTCGTATGTATTCAATAAAGTTTATGTTTTATACATAACTAAACTGGGGGAAAAGTAATTAAAAGTCTGGAGGCGCTTTTAAACTAGCTAACGGGGGGGAGGGCATAAACATATATAAATTGCTCCAGTCAACTTGATCGGCAACAAAATCAAAATAGATAACGTAGTTAACATACCAAATTGTATGGCGGAAGTTAATCAAATTAGAAATGATACACCTATAGCTAGGCAAAAGAAAAAAGTAGCGGAGAGCGGGATAATTTGGCTTTTTCCGATAGGACAAAAATTAAATGTATGTACACCAATGCTTGAAGTCTAGCAAATAAACTAGAAGAGCTTGAATTTGTTACTCGAAGAAAACTTCAATATTGTGGGAATAACGGAAATTTGGCTAGATAACACACATGATTGGGCCACTAACATAGAAGGGTACAACATGTTCAGGAGGGACAGGTGTAGGTGGGGGGTTTTTGGGGGGGGGAGTTTGCATGTATGTTAAAAATAATCTAAAGGTGCACATACGGGACGATATCGTGTCAAATGGTGGGGAAGACGTGGAATCCTTGTGGGTAGAACTCGATAGGACCGAGGCTTGCCGTAAACTTATTGTGGGTGTTATAAACCTCCAGATATAGGGGGGAGGAGGAGGCTCCGATACACTCCCAGATAGAAACGGCTGTGAAGCAGGGAAATGTCATCGTTATGGGTGACTTCAATTATCCAGACATAAATTGGGTTAATGGAACATCCCATTCGACAAAGGCGGCCCGTTTTCTGAACATGTTGCGAGACAACGTCATGGATCAGATGGTGGAGGTCCCAACTAGGAAAAATGCAATCCTAGATTTAATCATTTCTAATAATGTGGAGTTAATTGAGAGTATTACAATTGGGGAGACACTGGGTAACAGTGACCACTATGTGATTACCTTTAATATTGGGTATAGGAAAGGGAAGTCGGCTGGTCGGACTAAAACCCTAACACTGGGTTCACACCTAGGCGAATCGAATATGCGTGTTTGTTTTGCGATTCGCGGTAAAACGCGCAACAAACACCCATTTCCGAGGACTACTTGGCTGTATCCCAATGGAAACGCAAGACAAAAACGCCCCAAAGAAGCTCCTGTACTTCTTTGGGCGTAGGGCGTTTTGTAGCGCGTTCATACGGCCTGTAATATGCCCAGGTGTGAACCATACCCATAGGCTAAAACTACTTAATGCAAACAAAGCATTAGGACCTGATAATCTACACCCCAAAGTACTCAAAGAACTAAGCCACGTTATAACGGGACCATTATTCATCATTTTTAAAGACTCCTTAACCCCTTCGTGACTGACGATGTACGGGACCGGCATCCGCGGGGAGCTGGGGAGGAGGTCGACGAACTTCCGTTCATCGATCCCCTCCCCGTTCTATGGGACCGGGAGCGATGCATATTGCATCACTTCCGGTCCCTGGGCTGTCAGTTCTGGGCTCCTGGAGCCCAGCTATAAGCTATTGAAGTGCGATCTGCACTTCAATAGCTTATTTCCAGTGTAAAGGTGACACTGGGTGTCTTTAGGACCCCCAGCATCACCTTAAAGAGTACCTGTCACCACCATCTGCTATCACATGGGGGGGCTTGTAAGTCCCCTATGTGATAGCAGTCAAAGTAAAGAAAAAAAAGTTTTTAAAATTAAAATAAATCTAATAATAATAAAAAAAGTAAAAGTCCCACGCCCCTGTGAGCACGCGCGTCGCCACGTAAACACGTGTCGGGTGTGCCTACGTATGAAAACGATTGATGCGCGCTACACATGTTGGGTATCGCCGCGCACGCCGGAGTGAGAGAATAATTCTAGGGCCAGTATTTTGGGGTATCTCTAAATTGATGACCTGTGGGGGCTTTTAAAGTGTCTTTTATTGACTTTTTGGGGTACTGCAGTTTTTCGCCGTTTCACGGTCGCACGCAATCTGTAAACTGGGCATGTTGGGTATCGTTTTACTCGTTGTAACCTCATCTTTTATATTTCAATTAAAAAATGGGTAATTTGTTGTGTTTTGGGGCATTTAATTAAATTTGTCACTAAATTTTGGGGTTTAATAAGGAGTTGCGCTAATATTGCGCAACATAAAAATGTTCAACTACCACCATTTTATTCTATAGGGTCTTGGCATTCAGAAAATATATAATGTTTGGGGGTTTTAAGTCATTTTCAGGCCTAAAATGTGGAATATAACATGGGTGGAAAAAATGGGGAAAAAAAGGCCTCAGTCATGAAGGGGTTAATGACTGGCAGAGGGCTACGGTAGTTCCAATATTCAAAAAAGGGTCCAGATGCCATCCGGGGAACTGCAGACCGGTTAGTCTTACATCGGTAGTTTGCAAAGTGTTAGAGGGCATGATTAAGGTCCACTTAGCAGAATTTGTTCAGGATAATGACTTACCAGCATGGATTTAGGAAAGACCATTCCTGTCAGACTAACCTGCTAACTTTTTACAAAGGGGTAAGTAAAGATCTGGATGGAGGGAGGCTGGTGGATGTGGTATATGTGGACTTTTCTAAAGCATTTCACATATAAACATTTACTACACAAGCTGAGGTCTATGGGCATAGACGAATTAGTGTGTACATGGATAAAAAACTAGCTACAGGAACGGGTACAAAGAGTATCGATAAATGGCTCCTTCTCGGATTGGGCTAGGGGCATGAGCGGCCTGCCACAGGGTTCTGTGCTGGGCCCCATGCTGTTTAACCTATTCATTAACGATATTGGGGAGGGGGTAAACAGCCATGTTTCAGTGTTTGCTGATGATACCAAAATCGGGAGGGTAATAGACACTGAATTCGACAACGTTACAGGGGGATCTTAAATAGGGGAGTGGGCAACTACATGGCAGATGAGGTTTAAATGTAAAGTTGTGCACTTTGGGGTTAAAAATAAGAAAGCGGATTACACACTAATGTGAACTCCACTGGGGAAGTCCAAAAGGGAGAAAGATTTGCGGGTCATCGTGGACCACAGGCTGGATAATAGCTAGCAGTGTCAGGCTGCGGTAAACAAAGCAAGTAGGGTCCTGTCCTGTATTAAGAGGGGAATGTTTTGCAGGGAAAAGTCCATCATTTTGCCACTTAATAGATCACTGGTTCGGCCTCATCTGGAGTATGCGGCCCAGTTTTGGGCACCAGTGAACAGAAAGGATGTCCTTGAACTGGAAAGAGTCCAGAGAAGAGCAATCAAACTCATAAAGGGGGATGGAGGACTTGAGCTATGAGAACAGGCTACTAAATGTAAACATGTTCTCATTGGAAGTAATGAGATTAAGGTGGGACATGATTCTAATGTACAAAATGTTTACCGGGGACATTAGCAGCAAACTCTTTACATTTAACTCCATAACAAGGACGAGAGGCCACTACCTAAAATTGGGGGGAAAAAAATTTCAGCACAAGGGGCGAAGGGGGTTCTTAGTTAGATCAGTCAGGGTCTGGAACTTGCTGCCATATGCTGTGATTTCGGCTGAGTGTGGAATCGTTTAAGAGGCGATTGGACGATCTCATCAGGGACCGTAATATTCAAGAGTACAAGTACTCAGAAGATTGAGAACACACAGATACCTATACATACACACAATAGGTTGGACTTGATGGTCATATGTCTTTATTCAACCTCAAATACTATGTAAATAGTTGCTGCATTGCATTTGTGGTGGTATCTCCCTCCATGGGAAAAATGTGCCAATTCTATGTAATATAGGAGACCCACCACTAGGGAATATATATGTTTGAAATTTATGTTCTGGGACCCTCCTTTCCCCAGATATATGTATTGCTTTTCATTTAACGGTCCAATCACAGGCTGGGGGAGGGACATGACTTATAAGGGTAACTTAAATGTGACAGACAAAAACAAAAATCTGTTCCACTGTGCTGACAGACATGGCTGTACTGTATAGCAGAGCTATGTAAATCTCTGGGCTGGATGGACAGAAATGAAGATCTTTTAGGAAGGTAAAACAGCTCCTATACATGTGTATTTGTGATGGCACATTGTAGGTGACAGGTTCTAGGACCCCTAGTGTCACCTTTCCACTTCACTGGATTCAGCTACTGAGGCAGCTGAATGTCAACACAGCAGACTATTGCTCCAAGCCATTGCCAGCCTGTTATTGGATATTTCAAATTGCAATAGCAGGCTGGCTATTGCACCCCCCACTGCCTACGGTCAATCAGTAGAGAAGAACTTTAGGAGAAAGTTCTCCTTCAGGTCCTCCTCTGCTGATTGACAGCAGGGAGTGGGCCAGTGCAATAACTAGCCTGCTATTGCAATTTAAAATATATAATAGCAGGGTGGCTATTTCCAGCCACTGATGGCAGACTTGAGCCCGGTGTAATATGAATCCCTCAGGCTCGAGTCAGAGGGATTCATAGAACACCAGTAGAAGAGGGGGAGCGGAGAAGGGAACAAGGCGGGCAGCGGAGGTATGGGGGTGGGGGGTTGCAGAGTCTTCTTCACGCTGGTGCCGGCGGCAGTGGTCTGTGTCCTCGCTGCCTCTGCCAACACAGGCGGGGATTGAAAGGGACACAGACCGCTGCAGCCAGAACCAGCGGGGAGGAGAACCGAGGAGCAGAGCGGTGGAAACCAATCGAAAAATCAACTACTCGATTATGAGAATCGTTGCCAAGGATTCTCGTTCTCGATTTATAATTGATTAGTTGTTGCAGCCCTACTGTAAAGTAAGAGTGCTTTCATAAGTAAGTGTTAATCGTTTATTTTTATTAAAAACATTTTGAGCACATCTGTGTGTGTATATATGCATGTGTAAATGCGTACATTTCATGAAATTTTTTTTTTGCTAGGGCAAACTGGTAACAGTTCTGGCAGGAATCTGTGGGTTAGTGGCCTTTCATCTACCACAAGAGCAACTGACTTAAAGAATCTCTTCAGCAAGTATGGGAAGGTATATTTAATATTTTATCAATATTGATCATTCTATATCCTAAATGTCAAATATTTCTTTACATTTTTCTATGTATTTTTCTTGTGGATTGGTGCCTTATGTAGGGTTTCAGAACACCTGTATTTATGCACGTAATATCACCTGGTTCAGTTAGCTTTAGTGATATTGTGTTCAGAATTTAGTAGTAAACGGACACTATTTTCCTTCCCGGATAGCATCAGAGAGATAACCTCCTCCCCCCGGAAACAGGAAACACATCACCCACACCTAATAAAAAAAAAACCACACACAACTTGCATACCTCCCAGTTTTTGTGTGTGTTTCCTCCGGGCCAAGCATGAGATCGTAATGTTTGTTTTTTCTCTTTCGTTCATTGAAGGACACAGTGGAGATCTTGAATCTCTTAATGATGGGTTTATAGCGCAACCTTCAGGAGTAGCACACTAGGCACAAAACAAAAGCAAAGCCTCAGCCTGACGGTGGCCAAATCCACTAACCTTTTAGAGCCAGTTCAGTTTTTTGCCTAGCGTCAAAATTTTAGGACCTAAGCTCCCTGCTGGGAATCTTATTTCCTTTTTCTTTTTGCATGGTTGTTATTTTGTCCTAATTTTTTTGCACTTTTCTTCAGTCTTCTGGACCTATCAACAGCTGAGCTGGGCGACAAGCTGGATAGTTTAGATCAGTGGTTCTTAACCTGTGTAACCTCAGGACCCACTGCAGTGGAATGCACGGCATTGCGGTACCGCACGTTCCAGTTAGGGTGATTGAACTGTGGCAAGGAGGTGCGTTTGGTGTGCCATTCAAATGAATGGCAATGCACCTCCCACTTGGAAGGCATAGTATGTGTGACTGCGTGGTACAGTGCATTAATGGCACAGGGCTGTTCAAATAACGCACTGTACTAGTGTGAACAGGCCCTCAAAAACACTGGCAGACACACAGCCAGAGACAGTCTCACACACACACACACACATATATACAGTACACACTCCAAAAAGAAAAACTTAAGGTCCACCCAGTCTCCCTATCAATGAGAATTGGAGTGGATCCTCAGCCCAGGGTCCAGTGTGGGCTGCTGTGCTGTGACTGAGCTCCATCTATATTGTACAGCTCGCTTGCACATCGTGCAGAGGTGTCAGGAGCCAGAATGTGACATCACTTCAGTCCAGGCACCTTTTACAGGACACCTCTACAGGACATGCAAGGGAGCTGTAAGCAATGCACACATGGATGGAGATCCCTCGCGGCCATAGCTCCAACCCACCCTACCTCAAGCTGACGCACTGTATTCTGAATGGCTGCTTGGTGCGAGAACTGACAGTGCTGCGCTAGGGGGAGACTGAGGAGCCTCTCACCTAGAAAAGTGGAAGGCATGCTGCGACCCACTGAACACGGATTCCCGACCCACCAGTTGAGAACCAAGGGTTTAGATCCTTCTAGTCTCCCCAGCTCAGCTATCAAGCACATGTAGACCTTTCGCTATGGTGGGGTCGGCTGTGACGGCCCTATCCTGTATTTGGGCAGCCTATGAGTGTTGCTCACGGTGGGCACATATGACAGTGTGACTTGTTGCTCTGTCAGTGTTCCCCCAGCCAGACAGTCCCCCGGCTGCGGCAGGAGGCGGCCTGTCCTGGGAGATGGTACCCTTCGTGTATCCTGTAACTGGTAAGTGCACTGTCCCTCCTTCCCTCCCCCTGCCTTGGTTGAGGGCTGGTGTGGTCTCGGGTACCCCTGTTCTCCCTGGTTCCCGGTGCTGTGTGCAGTGGTTACTATTTGCCTGGGCACTCCCTATCGCTTTAATGGCGTCTACGGGCATCGATGTCTCTGATGTCATTTACTTCTTTGTGTGGACAGTGTAGGAATTGTTTCCCACTCATTCTCAGGACTTAGACCTGTTATGTTCTAGCACCCGCGTCTCCTTGCGGCCGCAGTTTCACTGGGTCATTCTTGGTGTTCCAGCAGCCGTAGCTCCCTGTGGTGGCGCTCCTTAGGTTGGCAGCCATGGTGGTGATCCTGGTGGCCGCACCTCTGTTTGACCTTGAAGGCAAAAAGGCAGGTTTACTGCACATCAGCTGCCCTGGGAGTCCCGGTGGCTGAAGCTCCTCGAGTCTTGGGACTGTTGGCTTTCACAGGGCCCGCACATGCTTGCTTTTTCCTGCAGCCTGGGGGCCTACTGTAGACGGTAGCCGCGACTGCCATGTTGCTATTGGGTTTCTGCCCATTCCTGTGATGTCACTTCTGCTATGTCAGCATTTCCTGACTTCCGTTCTCATTGTGGAATCCCTTCCCGTGCTTGCTAAGGCGGTAGCATACATTTCGGAAGCTTCTGCTGAAGCAGTTACATTTTCAGCTCGCACCACTGCTCATCAATTCAGGTAGATGAGCCTTGTGGCTAAAGACCTGGCCAGGGGATATGGCATCAAAAACTAAACTTTTGGGCTTCCCATTCAATGTGGATCTACTCTTCCGACAAGAACTTGAAACGGTTCTGGATAGATATGCGGACAGGAAAAAGGATTCCCTCTCCCCAAGAAACCGAACAGAAACAGGGACAGCGGAATCCCCCTGGGAAGAAAGGGAACAGATAAATCCGAAATAAGAATTGGGAATTAAAACAAAGGGGGGGAACTTATTTCTTCAATTAATTCCTCCCACAGTGTCAAAAAGTAACAAGCGACACTTTTATTCTGAACTTAATCAGTTGGGTTTACAGGAAATACCTGTTAAAGATCACTCCAAGATTTTTGATTACTCACCTCTCTCGTTACCCAGAAAAGGATCTAGAGTCCATTCAGGTAATCCTAGATCAGGGGGTTATTTGTTCAGTCCTCATAATAGGGGAAAGGGAAGGATTCTATCCCCATGTCTTTCCAAGGAAAAAACTCAGGAAAATTCAGTTATACTGAACCTCAAGCCATTGAACATGAAGTTCCGAATGGAATTGATTTATTCTGTCTGGGAGTTAACTCCAAGCTTATATCTGGCCACAGTGGACTTAAGGGATGCACATTTACACATCCCTATTACAGAAGAATTACAATGGTTGCTGAGGTTCACGATCAAGGGTCCCGGAGAGATCTTGCATTTTTCAATACAAAGCTCTGCCTTTTCGGGCTTTCCTCAGCCCCAAGGATATTTACAAAGATCTTGGCAAAAGTACTGATCTCTCTGATTGAAGGGGGTAGGTGTCCCATAACTAGACATACTATTTTTTTCAAAAGATCAGGAGGTGCTCAGAGGAAATGCATTAATGGCAAAAGCCCACCAAGAAAATCTAGGATGGTTGAAAAACAGAAAAATCTCAAATTATCTCTAACCAAATGCTAGTATTTTTAGGTTATCAAGTATGTTCGGTAAAGGCTTGTTCCTTCCAGAAGAGAAAATCTGCAAAATATTGGCAGAAAGTAGGGATGTCCCGATACCGATGCTAGCATCGGTATCGGGGCCGATACAGGGCATTTTGACAAGTACTTGTCAAAATGCCCCGATACTTAAGACAGATACTGGCCCTTTACATTTTTTAATCGGGTCGGCTGCCCGCGTCTCCTCCTCCACCTTCCCAGCTATGACATACCTCTCCTCCGTTCTGGTCTCCGTGAATGATGCTGCCTCCTTTTCAGCGTCATCCGGCTCCTCCCACCTATCTGGCTTAAAGCGGTGCCATTGAATTCAATGCACCACCACGCCCCCTCCCGTCCCAAAACGCGGGGGGAAGTTTCTTAGCGATCACGGTGCGTTCCAGCAGCTACCGCTCTGGAACGCACACGCTTTCGGTGTGAACAAGGCCTTACTAATTATTGTCCTTGGTGGCACTTCTGTCCAAAACATTATTCATTTGAGTTCCCTGGACTGTTTATCATATACTTTTACTTCCTGTATTACATTATTTGCCAAATAAGTGACTTTAGACTTTGATCTGTCCTTGTACAACTTCTACTAATCCACAGCTGTGATTCCAGGAATTGCACATTATTTAGCAAAGTGTGTTACACCGGCGCAGGCACTACTTGGGGCAGCACCACACCGTGAAATACAGACTCGGAGCGGGCACGTGACCGGCACCCGCTCCATTCGGCTCACTACGCACCCATAGAGCGGGCTCAGCACGGCACCTGTCAGAGACCCAATATGGAGCGCTGGTGACATCTGTACACAGCCCTGGAGGGACTCATTAGCAGCCTGGTGGGATCTGGACTCAGCTTTGAGATTTGTACACAGCCTGGTGACATCTGGACGCAGCCTGGTAGGATCTGGAGTCCAGATGTCACCCGGCTGCGTCGAGATTCTGTCTGATCTGTTTTCAGCCCTGGTGAGATCTGGACGCAGCTCTGGTGAAATCTGGAGTCCAGATGTCACCAGGCTGCATACAGATGTCACCAGGCTGCATACAGATCTCACCAGGCTGCATACAGATCTCGCCAGGCTGCATACAGATCTCGCCAGGCTGCATACAGATCTCGCCAGGCTGCATACAGATTCTGGTGGGATCTGGCGTCCAGATGTCGCCAGGCTGCGTCCAGATGTCACCAGGCTGCGTCCAGATTTTGTCTGATCTGTACTTAGCCCTGGTGAGATCTCTATTCAGCCCTGGTGAGACCTGCATGCAGCCCTGGTGACATCTGGACGCAGCCTGGTGAGAAACTGCCCTAAAATCATGTATTGTTTTAGAAAAAATCTCATGTCCCTTTAAGAAAAAGTTTCGGTAACCTGAGGGCAATTACTTGGTCTTGAAAAAGTGGTATCGGGACATCCCTAGCAGAAAGCATTAATCTTGAATGTTTAAAGGCAAGAGCATCATTCAGAATTATGAGGATTTGGGGTCTGATGACTGCATTAATTTGTGCACTATTACATGCCAGACCCCTTAAAAATTTTCTTTCGGTAGAGTGGGACGGTCATCCAGAGTCATAGGACAAGGAGGTGGCAATAACCAGGACAGTAATCCAGTCAGTAGGGTGGTGGCTGAAGGCAGAACATCTATCCAGGGCGAGGCATTGGAGGCAACCAGGCCCTCTAAAGATTATGACTGATGCAAGTGCGTGGGGTTGGGGGGTCTACTTTCGGCAGCATATGATACAGGGTTCTTGGAGCCAGATTTAGAGCTGCAAGTCCTCAAACATGAGGGAACTGAAAGCCATAGAGTGTGCTTTATTGGGATTCGCTCCCTGTATCAGAGGCTGCCATGTGCACATTTTATCAGACAATGCTACAGAGGTTGCATATCTAAAGAAACAGGGATGCATGAAACAGGGTCCCATCTTCTCATGCCACTGGCAGACGATATCCTGCTGTAGGCCGAAGACAATCTCTTGTCAATTTTGGCAATACACTTGAAAGGAAAATAGGATATTTTGGCGGACGCATTAAGCAGGAAAGCTTTTCGGCAATCGGAATGGGAGTTGGACAACCATATGTTCCACATGATTGTCCTAGAGTGGGGGATGCCAGATGTAGATCTGTTTGCCTCCAGAAAAAACAAAGGTGGATCAGTTCTTCTCTCAGCAGATTTAGGAGGGAAGCTTGGGGGTGAACGCATTGCTAAACTCATGGAATACTCGGCTGGCCTATGCTTTCCCTCCCGTCAGGTTGATTTTGAAAGTCATAAATTATAGAAGAAAAAGTCATTCTGATTGCACCTTGGTGGCCAATGAGGCCATAGTTTGCACATCTTCTGAGACTTGAGTGTCAAACCTCCTTGGTCACTTCCAATACGGCAGATCTGCTTTGACAAAGGTCAGTACTACATCCCCAGATAGAGTATCTACACCATACAGCTCTGAAAGGGACTTTTTATGGAGGAAAGGGTTGTCAGACAGGGTAATTGCTTCCCTAATTTCTAGTAGGAAACAGTGTACTTTAGCGATTTACAACAAGCTGTAGAAAACCTATTCATCGTGGCGGTTATCCAACAAGACACAAAAAACTGGAATTGTTTTACTCCTGGAGATCAGTGCTCTATAGATTACCCATTTAGAGTGCTCTGTCTCCCAGATCAGTAACCAAAAAACAAAAAGGACTATCTTCAAAGGGGAGATGGTCGAAGGGTTAACCAATGATCGGGACAGACCAATTTTGAAAATATCAAATAGAAAACTTTATTTAGTGTATCACCAAACACCACCAAATAACAAACAACATAAAATAAAAAACATAAATGATCACTGACTATGAGTCCATTTCATTTAGGGTGGTGGTTATTGACCTAAGTTATGCATCTTTAAATCGAGACCCTACCGTTCATCCGTCTTGAATATCAGTGGCCTCTACTCAAGGTGAATGGTAATTTAAGCACAGGTTGGTTATATCTATTTTTTGGCTAATATACTCTGTATCGAGTCATTCTTTTTGTTCCTACTGGCCTGTGTTTAACCCCTTCGTGACTGACGACTTACAGTGTACGTCGCCAGCATCGGGGCTGTTTAAACAGACTCCCGGTGACTTTTGCCGCCGGGACTCTGTTTAAACTTGTAGAGCCGACTGTCGGCTTTACAACAGAAGCGATCCTGGCGACTTACCTGTCGCCAGATCGCTTCTGCGTCCCGAAGAAGGGGCCGGCC